ACATGTATAGTTTAGCTTTATATGTTTATATTGTAATCAGTATTAAATGATAATAAAATGAAAGGCAAGATCCTCTTGTAGGGAAAAAAATATATATATAATTAATATTTATTAAATATTTTTTTACTTATTTTGGCTTCAATTTTTACTTGTCTTTTACTTGTTTTAACTTTAATTTTTACTTACTTTGACTTTGATTTTTACTCATTTTAGCTTTTTTTGTATTATTTTTTTTACTTTTTCTTCTTGTATATTTCTTTATTGATTTTTTACTTTGCTCATATTTTTACTCTATCTTATTTTACATTTTTATTACTCTTTGTTCATATTGCCTTTTACTTACCTCTAGGTTATTTTTCTCTTAGTATCTTTTCTGAATTTTATTTTTACTTTGGGTCACATTTTGTATCATTTGCCTAAAATCACCTTGCTTTTCATATTACATTCGCCTTTTAGATAATTAATTACATTTATATTAAGTAGTATTTTTTTTGTATTGTATTTCTAAATTTTATTTTTACTTTAGATCACGTTTTATGTTATTTGCTTATAGGTTAGAAGCCTGCATTTGGTCTTACAACTCAGTCTAGTTTGGTTTAGCCTGCAAATTTTTGCAAGCTGAGCTAGGCCTGAAGCAAAATTCTATAACTGTGAGCTAATACAAGTCTAAAAATTTTCAAAAATTTATAATAAATTTTGTATACTAGGCTAGTTTAAGTCAGCCTTAAGAAAAATTTATATAAATATGAGCTAGGTTAGACTAGTAAAAAAATTTTAAACCTAAATACAAACTAGGTTGAGCTGACAAAAAAATTTTAAAACTAAGTACAGGCTGAGCTAGACTACAAAAACAGATAATTTGCAGGCTCCTACTATAGGTTATATTGCTTTTCATATTATATTCACACTCTAGATTATTAGTTATATTTATATTAAGTGATAGTTTTTTTGAGTTGTATTTTATTTTGTACTAGCTTATCTAACTTTTTAGTTTTCTTTTTCATTCAGGTCACATTTTTTTTTAGTATTAAACTTGTATTGTGAAAATATTTTGGTTGCTACTTTGTATTGCCTTATGTATATACTTTCATCCTCTAAGTCTCTAGATAAATTTACTTTAAGTGATATCTTTTTTTCTTTTTAGATTATATTTTTTTATATGCTTTTTTAATTTGCTTTTTTTTCTGATTACATTTTTTTCGTATTGCATTTTCACTATATTATATTATCTCTTTAGGTCATTACTCTTTTACTATTCAGTATAGATTACTTATTCTTTTTTAATATTAATAACAATTATAATATTTTTATAAGTAATGATAAAACTTCTATAACCTCTATAAATATATTCAATAATTTTTTTAATATTAAAAATAATAGCAAAGAGAGAATAGCTAAAGAGAATATGTTAAATTTAGAAAATAAAGAGAATATGTCAGATTTAGAAAGTGAAGAGAATATGTTTAATTTAGAAAGCAAAGATGAAGAAGATATAGGACCTGCATATTTATTAGTTAAAAATCAGATCTTTAAATCTTTGAAAACTACTAATAAGTAAATAGATGTCAATTTTTAAACTTTTTGTTAAAAAATTGAAGTTGATTTTTTTTTTTTTAATACTTGATTTAGGTGGTTTGAACTTTATAATCAGAAAAATAGTTTTATATTTTATGTAACTCATAGTAACAATAATAAAGTTGATAAAAAACCAAGACATCATATATATTCATATACAAAAAGACAAAAATATGCTTAAAACAAAGAAGCACATGTGCTTGATGAGAGAAATAAAGGTTATAAGGCAGAAGATTGTCTCTACTATATAAATATATATTATTAGAAAAATGATAATATGATTTGAATTTTAAGTATTATTAGAATATATAACCATAAAATAGTTAAAAATATTATAATAGCTGAACCTAGATACTAATAGTTAATAGAAGAAATAAAAAATGATATTTAGTTATTTTCATTTTGTAGTATGCAAGCTGAAGTGATTATTAAGGTTTTATAACAAAAATACCTAGAGAAATATATTTATGCTCATAATATATATAATTTAATATAATCAATTTAGTATGAGAAGTATATAGTAGGTGATATAAGTAATATATATCTAAAGCTAATTAGAAAACAATGTAATAAGCTTAGTTATTTTATTGATACAAAATTTGAAGAAGCAAACAATCACTTAGTTGGTCTTTTTTGGATACAACCAAGTCAGATTCAATTATAAGAAAAGTTTCATAATATTGTTCTAATAAATACAACCTTTAAAACTAACTGTTATTTGATGAAGCTTTGTTTTGTGATAGTTATTGATAATTATAATTGTTCATATCTAGTAGCTACTGCAGTTATTTTAGAAGAGACAAAAGAGATATTTTTGTAAATTCTAGAAAATTTAGTCAAAGCATCAAATAGTTTAGTATCAAAGCTATTATTTACTGATACTAATTGTTCAATAGTAGCTACTATAAGTAAAACTTTATCAAATACTAAGCATCATTTTTGGCTTTATTATATTAGAAAAAATTTTGAAAAAGTTTTCTGAGTAAATATAAAGGAGAGAAGTAGAAAGAATTTTTTAGTATATTTTGTTATTGTCAAAATAGCTATATTGAAGCAAAATTTGAGAAACACTAAGCAGATATGATACAAAAATATCCTAATTCTGCATCATATTTGGTGAACTAATTTTATTCTTATCAGTATGCATAGATATTTTGCTTTACTCATAGATCATTTAATGCAAGCATGCAATTAATACAACAAGTAGAATCTTATAATAGCCTGATTAAAAAACTTATAATGCCACTATATCTCTGTTCGAATTAAATAAAACTATTGAAAAACTGCTTATTAATAAGAGTCAGTATTAGCACTTTAATGAGATTGTAGGTATATTACTAGATATTTATAATAAAGATTACTATAATAGATATTTTAAATTAGTTGACAAATCATATTAGAGATTTTTAATAGTAGTAGTTCTTAAGATTTAATGTAATAAAATAAATTATAATATTCATTATTGAGTATAGTTAGCAAATTTAGATGAATAAAAAAATCAAGTATATTTAATATTATGAATAAAATGACTTGTTATATTTATTTATTAGATGAAATGAGCTTGTTTTTTTTTTATTATTAGTTGAATAGTACTGATGATATATCAATATTTACTAATAATATATTTGACATATTTGTGATTAAATTAGAATAACTAATGATTATAGATCATATATACATCTATGAGATTTAGAAAGTTTCATCAATTGATATGAAGTGTCATCATTTTGTATTATTATATGATAAAGCAATACATCTTTGCACTTGTTTAATATTAATTAATTGTAGTGTTGTTTGCTAGCACTTTTTTTTAGTAATATTATTATCAAAGGTTGCTAAGTTTTATATTAAACTTATATCATGCAGATAGTATTTAGACAAATTAATTGGTAAAGCAAATATTAATATTACAAATAAATCAGCAATTTTAGCAATATCTAGTGATCAGCTTAGATTATTTGAACATAATCTACAAGTTAATTTCATATATCTTAATAGTATTTGTAGTCATCATATTTTTACAAATAAAGTTCATAAAGAGATATCACATAAGTAGCAATAGGATAAGAGATTTGGTATTTTAAAGAAAATTCTTGAATTGATGATTGCTATAGGAAGATATAAAAAATTATATGAATTATATCTCAAACTCTTGAAAGAAATAAAGATATAAGTGATGACAACAAATGTTTATAGTATTCTAAATGATAGCAAATTTATAACTACAATTAGTAACCTAGTTGATATTTATTCAAAGAGCCAAAAACCAAAATCTGCAAAGACAAAAGTATTTAATGATGAAAGTAGGTACAAAAAAAATTAAAAACAGAATATACAAGTTGAGTTAGCAACTGTAAGAACATATCTAGTCATTATAGCATTTATAGTTAATAAATTTAATCTATGAACTTGAATTAGTCTAATTAATAACTAAATATTATAGCTCAAGAAAATTATAAAAATCAAGAAAATATTAGTGAATCATCATTATTAGTTATAAGGAACAATGCTGAAAGTTTAATTAGAATAGGTAAGCTATGAAGTTTGATAATAGTATTATTTAATATTATATATCATATGATTATAATTTTAATATATATAATTTGAATTAGTATATATTATAGATCAAAAAGATTATAATAATTATGAAGGTAAATTTTCAGTAACAAGTCAGAATGCTGAAAATGCTAAAAGTTTAATTAGAATAGGTAAGTTGTTTGATAGTATGATTTAATATTGTATAGACTATAATTTTAATATATGTATTTTGAATTAGTTTAACTAATAACAGATTAGGAAAGTTATAATAATCATAGTAAATTTTTATTATCAGTAACAAAATATAGCTCCGAAAGTTTAACTAGAACAGATAATTTTAGAATTTCTTTTTATATATATATATGTATAGTAGTAGATATTATTTAATATTATATATCATAGTCAATAAGAATATTACTATCTATGACAATAAGTCTCACCATTGTGGTATTTATAGCCAAGCAGGCTATAATTCTTGTATATGCAATTCAGATAGATTAAACAATTGTGAAAATATTGATACTGAGAGTTTAATAAGAACAAGTAAATTTTTTTTTTTTTTTTTTAACTTAGGTGACCTTACCCTTAGTTTATTAGTGGAAGATTTATAAAGAAATCATAATACAAAAGTAAGAAAAAAACTAATATTCTAAACTACTAAAGTA